ACTGCCAAGAGGAGGCCTGCTTGCCTCTCTCAACAGCAAAGAACAGCATGTTGGGGGGGGGTGTCTCTCTGCTCTGAAGAAGCTGGCACCTCTCTCCTGTTTGGGGGGCCCTGGTTTAAGCAGTGCAGTGCTCAGTATTTTTGCAAGTGGGGCAATAGTGTACAAATAACAAGCACCAGGAATGAGGGCTGAGAAGCAAGTTGTGCCTTGAGATGAGATAGAAGCTGACTGGCACTTTTTGGAAAGTGCAGCTAGGGCCTAGGGTACTTACCATTGGTGGATTCAGAGTTCAGGATACAGAGGTCCTACTACTGCTGGCACAAAATCTGCAGGGTCTTTAAGCATACAGAGAAATGCCACTGCTTTTTTGACAGGCAGCTCTTTTCCTCGGTGGTAAGAGCATGCAACAACACAGGGTAAAACCAAGTCCTTTCCCCAGCACATGGTAACCACACCAAGGGACCAAGTGCCCCAGATACATTCTGTTTTGAATTCTACACAAGCAAATCCTTGAATGAAAGTGTGACTCATACTGCTCTGAAGGCCAGCATCAGCTGCCTTCCTGGATAACCTGGGTCAAGTGAATCCTCCTTAATGTTGAGTTGCAGCTCAAAAGTTGAGTTGCTTTTGAGTAAGCAGTCACTCTCTGAAAACAAAGTTCCCCTCTTGAAGCCCTCACAGAGGTTCCCTGTGACATTCAGAGCACCAGGATAGGAAGAGCTATGTCTGTTCTGGACTGCCTTGTTCACCTTCTGAGGAGTATGTGGCTTTGCTGACAAGACCTAAAAGAATGAATATTCCTCTTTGCTGCTGTTTTAAAAGTGGATAACCATTTAATTAGTTGTTCACCCTCCAGGGCTGTAAGTTCTTGTATAATTAGATAATGAGCAATTATCTTTACAGCATTTTGTTCTCACATGGTACTACCTGGATTCCAGCACTGACCACATTTCAAAGGCTCATGTTCCAGGTTATTACCCAGTAATGCTACAGGAAGCACTAGCACCCTTTTTTACAAGAAGACTTTCTTAGAAGGGACCATCTACCAGCATTACAAGTACTAATATAAATCCCACCTGCTCTTACTGGACTTGCCCCATGGTAGTTTGAAGCAGCGCTGATACCCACAACAGCAGGAAAACCCTAAACTATTCCAAGATTATGTGGTTGGGTGCTTCCTGAAATACTGCCTTTCATGTCCTTAATACCACCCTTGCCTTTCCTGCTTTGGCAGGGAAAGCCAACATCAGGGTTGCACGGCGTGGTTCAGAACAGAAAGCAATTGGACAACACAATGATTTAGACTTGGAGTAGCCCCCAGAAGGGCTGCTATGCTAAGAAAAGTGCCTGATGCAAGTCAGGACTTACAGGATGTACTTGTGTTGAGGTCAGCAACTGGCAATTAATTAATTCGTTAAAATACCTGAAGAGATTTTAAATGGGCACATGGTAAGAACATGCATGCAAGAGGAAGATCTTGAAACCACTTAAGCTTTAGGGCAAACAAAAAAACAGATGGGAGATGGGTGTGGTGATAAAAAGGTGTAGGCAAGGGGCCCATACCTGTCATTATTCCTGCAGCTACAATTTAATTACCATTCCTAGGCTTTAGGGAACAGAGTTGGTTGGGTTGTGTGTTTTTTTTAAATAATGTATGGGAAGGAACACAAGTTCTGCAGTTGGAAGATGCCCCTTAGCATTATCCTGAGTCTCTGCTAAGACTCTTAATGTTCTTTACTCATCACCCAGAATAGAAACTGTTTCCTTAAACTTCAATGTTAAGGTATTGTTTTTAAAGTGGGGGAAAAGAAAATTAGAAGCAAAGCCCCAAGTTTCCTCTCCTCCCTGAAATTCTCCTTGTTTCAGCAGCACCAGAGCAGAAGTCAGCACAAGACTGGCAAGAAGCCCTCCTCCAGCTCTTTGGGTGATAAGCAGATGTGCCTTACAAGCTTGTTTTGTGCAGTTGTTAAGCTGGGACAACGGGCTGCAACAACAGGTTACGGAAAGGTAAGCTATTTACCTGGAGGATGTTACTTAAAGCTGATCTTAATGTTGTAATGCAGTGAGGGTAAGAGGGAAAATTAGCACCCTGCTCTGAATGGAAGATTGGTTTTCTTGAGACCTACAATGGCAAAGTGACAGTGACTTATAACACTGCAACAACAAATCAACCTATTAGAGAGGAACAAGTATCACATGGCAGGGCTCAAATAAAGGAAAAATTTAGTTTAAATACTTGCTGAAAAGGTCCAAAACAATTTTTTTTCTAACATTGTTCTCCTGGTTGCTAGAACACAAGAGGAGACAAAATGAAGGAAAAAAAAAAAAGACAAAAAAAATTTAAGAATTACCAAAAAATTACCAAAAAAAGACAAAAACAACCAAAACAACCCAAAACTTGATTTTTCACAGTATTGCAACAGCTAATGACACTTGTTTGTAGAAAACAGATGAAGTGCCCACAGGGAGGAATTCACTATTGAAGAAGTTGACTATCAGATGTCAACTGAGCTGTATTTAGTCCTTGCCACACAAAAGCCATGTCAGGCAAAGCAAGCCAAAGGGGGAGAGTGGGGAACATAAATTATTACTGAGCAGAGGCAGAGCCAGACTTTTTTTTCCCCTCAAAAATGCACAGTGATGGAATAAAGATCGGGGCAGGGGGCTTTTTTTTTTTTTTTTGCTATTGAAATCCCTTCTACCCATACCTGTATGTAAGATGGCATGTGTTTGACCCAGGCACTGAGACAGATGCACCCAGAGCCAAGCTGCACATACTGCTTCATGCCATGAAAACCAAAGCCATTATCCCATTGGGCATGTGATGCCTAGGGAACATACATACAGAACTGCATGTCCAATGAGCTGGAATGAAAAGGCTGGTTGAGCCTGTTTCAAATGGCAGATAAATGCACCATGATTAGTGTGCGCCAATCACCAAGCCACACAGCAAGTTGAGAATTACAAAATTTCAGGTGCAAGAGCTGCTTCAAACCAGAGCATCTTTCCAAATGCTGTATTAACTCCTCACACAGTTCTTCTATTAGTTAAAATGAAGGAGGCAGGTGAAGCAGCCCAATTCCAAGGAGGTTTTTTCCTAAACAGAGCATCATTATGTGGCTTCCGTGCTTAGCCATGGATGCTGAAACCAATGTAAGTTGTGGGCTCTTCCTGTTTTGCTGTACAGAGCTTGAACTAGAAGAGATTCCTGCTCAAGAATAAGGACTTTAATTCTAAAGAAACTACTATGGAGGGAGGGGAGTCTTGGCTAGGTAACGGAGCTGGGATGCTTTTCCCACTCTGTGACAGTAATCAATAGGGAATGTGTTACTTTGTCATGTCAGATTTCCTCAGCATAAGCAGCTCATGGTAGTTTTGTGATGGAAGTTAGAGAAAAACTGACAGAACTGATTTCCCAAAGGAAACAAAGCAAACATAATCTCCTTTGAAAAAAATCTGATTTTATTTTTGTATTGAAAAGACCTGTCAATTTAAATAGATGTTTATTTCCATTCATGGTCTCAACCAGTGTTGTGTGTTAACATTATTCAGAACTGTATAAAAAGCCACTTGTGTTACATCGGTTAACATCCTAGAACACTGGGGGGGAGGGGTTTGAAGCAGCTTAACATTAAAAATAGGATGTTCCCAAAAAACTTACAACTGATGCGGCATCTTCTATTCTAATTTTATAGGAGCTGAAGCATATTGCAAATACAACTCAAGTTATTTGGTCTTAAAAAAAACCAAAAACAACTTTAAAACCAGATTGCTTTCATAGCAATATTGAAGCTGTCAGCTGAGAGAACACACACATACACTCCTGTGTGTGCAAACACACACACAGAGAACCACACTGAGCACAAGTGGAACACCCCATTCAGCATTTGCATTATGTATGTGTTCTTCTGAATCCATGATAGCTGTAATTTAAAATGCTACTTGCCTTTTTTTTTTTAATATATATATATACACACACACACGGTTTCCATGGAAACCCAAGATTCTGCACAATCAACTGACATTTATTACTCATGGTGCTGTGAAGTTCTCTAGTGAAAGGGCCAAATTCCAAAAGCTTTACTCAAACATGCACATACCTAACTGGAGCCAATGAACAGGGGAGAAGATGGTTTAGAAAAGGGGTTGCAGGGTCAAGGTCTAGATTTGAAAAAGTCACATGACAGATTGTCATTCAAAAAAAGGTTTTTAAGCAATTCTTTGGTTTATTTCCATGATTCTCAACACTGTCCGAAAAACCCAGAGACAGTCACATGAGAAATCACAGCTCTAAAGCAAGCCTACAGCATTTTTAAATCCTGTGTATTAAATGTTCAGAAGACTACAGGAATTTAGAGCACCCCTTACATTCATGTCCCCAAAAATCTAGTAACTGCTTAAGTGCATGCACTGAGGCATGACCGGCATGCCTGTAAATTCATTTTGTTCAAGTTAAGAGTAAATATAGCTGCAAAAAACCCCACCCACCTATAATTAAATGGTCATTACTAGCAATACTATAGTGACTGTCTTGTTATTAAAGAAATGCAGACACGGTTTCTGCCCCTTTGGCTTGCTCAGCCAAAAGGAAGCTGTCTGCTCGATTTAGAAAGAAAGCAAATTTTAAAAATCCAAGGGAGTTTAATATTTCCATGTTTCTGGGGTCATTTATTAATGTAAAGATGTAGACAAATGGCAAGTATATGAAAGCATCTCTTGTACATTCCGAAGTTTGGAAGTCAAAAGCAGACTTTAACTTCCTTATGCTTAAATGTTATGGTAGGCTGGGAAAAACCAGTAAGAAGTGATACAGTATTTCCATGAAAAGTAAAGTAGAACCAAGTCTAACTGGCATTCGTATGCAAAGAGTTTTTGCTATGCTTTATGTAAGGCAGATTTTATTGCAAAGGTAGTTACCAGTCTGCTAGTAGGAAGGAAAATACAGGCAACTATACTTAGAGGAGATGGTTGATAATTACTAGTGACAACTTCTGTTTTTCAGAACAACTCAGCTTTAATGTACTTTCTGGAAACACCATTTTCATCATTGGTTTTCACTTCCTTCCCCATCCCATGTTAAGTATCAAAAATCAAGACTGGACAAAATGAATTGTGGATATTTACCAACCAACAACATCTAGTATTCCAATGTTATTTTTAAACTGGAACAAATATAGGTCATTCTTTATAACCTACTGCCAGTGGTTGTTTATAAATAATCTGCTCCCTGCAATAAACATTGGTCATTGAAATATTAATTTGCAGTAACTACTTGGCACTAGGTTAATATACTTGTAAAGTTTAACGGAAGTGCTTCTGATGTACATAAAAGCGCTTCAAACATCAGACTTTTAAAATGTAGTTTTGGGGTTTTTAATATCTATAGTTACAGTTTTCACAAGCATTTCTGAAAGTATTAAATCTCTTTATAAGTTTAGAGGCTCACGTCTCAGCATGCCTGTTTCTCAACAATTACAGAATACCTAATTTAACATTCTTGCTCCCTATGCTGAGACGACACAGTACCAAAATTTAGCTATAAAAAGAGGCATTTTTGGTCAGACTGACCCCCAGCTGTCCCTTAACAGAAAAGCAATGCAGCTCAAAACTTTCTCCTCCCTCCAAAAAAAGACACCTAAGGCCACAAATTAACATTTGCCAGAATATCCAGGTGTTTCTCTATTTGTGGCAACTGTGTACATGCCCACTTAGAGAAATACAGTTCAAAAGCCCCACCACCACCTTTTAAGGATAAACCACCTCAGAAGCCAGTTTAGGCAGCAGTGCGTCGAAACGGTGTGTTAAAGCCATTCCATCTAGTTTAACTAGTTTCTAACCATGTTCAATCAAAATTCCTAATTGCAGGAAAGAACAAAAAATAAAATAATCTTAACGTAGAGAGAGAGGCAAAAAGATGCAAAGATAACCACCACAACGATCCAAGAGCAAAAACTCCTGTTTAAGTTTTTCTTATGCTAAAAAAGGCACACAACCCCTTGTGAACTAGAGACAAAAGCTAGCAGTACAACAGCAATAAACCCAGAAGAAAAAGCCTACCAAAATTACCCAATTGCCTACTGGGAAGGAACAATGAAGTAGACAGGCTGCTCTTGCTCTGTTTTGTTTGCAGGGAAGTGGTCAAATTTAATAGTCAAATTCAGCCACATTAAGAAACAGTTTAACAAAAGCTACCCCAAGAAACCAGAACAAAACCTGACCTTTGGGTCAAAAGGCCACAGACAGGCCTTTCCATAGCATGTAGCTGAGTGAGTTCAGAGATTGGCAATGAAAGAAAGAAAGCTTTAGACATGTGATGGGAACAAGCTTTGGGATTTATCGAACAGTCACGCCAAGCTTCTCCAGCACACGCACTCCCTTTTCTTGGTATTCTTGTCGGGTCATCCAGAAGTTGTCTTTGTCTTTCATGATGTCTGCTAGAACCGCGCCACCCAAAAACACCATGTGCTTCCGACGAGGTGGATCTTCAATTCGGATCTTGAATTTCTAAGAAAAAGAAAACAAAGTGTTACTAGGATTCTTGAAACGAAGCCTTTCAAAATAAAATAGTGCTTTCCACCAGAACAATGAAATGGAAACTGTTTAGTGAGAAAAATGCAACCAAAAAAACTGAAATGCTAGCACAGGACACTCTGCATGAGTTTCCAGCTTGCGCAATCACAGTAAAATAACTACTTTGCACTGGAAATTGGAGACAGCTATTGACACTTTCCCCAAAATTATACTTCCAGTGTAGCCACAAAAAGTCTAAGAGTCAGAATATAAAATTAAAGATCTTATTTTTGCATTTCATGAGTATGGTAAAGAGTGAAATTCTTGGCCAGCTTTGATGGCTAAGATTATCAAAAGCTACCAGATCATCAAATCACAAAATATTTCAGAATTACACTAAGTTTCAAAAGAGTAGATGGAATGGATCTTAAATTTACACAGTCTAGACCAACTAAACTAATAAATATTCCCTTAAATTTTTCAATGCTAAAGCTCTAACTTCAATGAGTACAGTCAAAGCTATGTGTGAAATATTGTCCTAGACTTATAACATTCTGTACAATTGAGTCATTCCATATTGCTACAAAAGATCTTCAGAGAACACACTATTAAGAATCAGGGAAGTTCGATTCAGTTCAACATTAGAAACTCCACTCCAAGGAATTTTCTCTGTAAATATATCCTCCTTGAAAAGCAGACAACAGTAGTGTTACTTCTGTAAGGTGTGTGTGGCTGTTGTCTGCTTGTCACAGTAACCAGTGAGCAAAGGACAATTTTTCCACTTGAAGGTGTATTTGAACAAGCCTCTTACTTTTGAGTATTTCACTTACAGCATGAACAAGGAATTTTCTCTGTAAATATATCCTCCTTGAAAAGCAGACAACAGTAGTGTTACTTCTGTAAGGTGTGTGTGGCTGTTGTCTGCTTGTCACAGTAACCAGTGAGCAAAGGACAATTTTTCCACTTGAAGGTGTATTTGAACAAGCCTCTTACTTTTGAGTATTTCACTTACAGCATGAACCAAAACTTTTACAGATTAAAAAAAATTTTTTTTTTTTGCTCTATGATTACTTTTATTTACTTGTATTTTGCCTACAAGTTCTGCTCTAGCATTTATCAGCCCCTTTTACACTCAAGCTAATCGAAGACTTCAGCCATTCCTTGCTATTAGCACGGACTAGAAGGTGGCTTCATTGCAAATACACGCAAACCACCTCTACAAAACGAAAGGGTGTGAAGAACAGAGAGGCAGGAATTTTGCAAGCTGGGTGGAGGGCCACCCGCAGCTTCTGTCATTTCTGACGACTTGGTTCCCTCTAGTGGGGATTCAGGATAAACGTCGTCCCCACACAACTAAAGCTGCAACTCGGTACCTACCGAGAGTTTCTCCACATCTCCTTTCAGAACTCGTTCCAGGTAGAGCTGTTTCAGTTCCCTCTCCAGTCGTGAAGGCAGCCCGGGGTACATGGTGGACCCTCCAGACAGCACAATATGCTTGTAGAATTCAGACCTGACAAATAAAAACCAGCCGTTCTAATCTCATGTGGTATCCTCTGTAGTACAATTAAAAGATCCCTGTACATACACAGGGGAGTAAATATAAATGTAAAAAATGGTCACACACAAACACAGGATTTGCACAAGTTTGGCAGACTTGCTCATGATTTTCAGGCATCCTAGAAAGCAGCAGTACAAAAACCAGCCAAACATTGTACTTTCAAGATTTTTACCCTTGCCCATTCATACCAGAAGAGCCAAGTTTCCAGACAACCCATTAAGCTCCAAGATCTCAGACTGAGCCCCACTCCCAATAGACACCTTGCCCCAGCAGTGTGCAGGTCAGTGTCTACAGCAAAAGATGTTATTTTGTATAAATGCAGTTCTCTCATGACTGCACTCTGGTAAGAGGATTGTAAGTGTTCTGCTCCTACCTGGTATCAATGTCAGCAGCCTGGATGGTGTTAAAGAGCAGTTCAGCCACACCAACCCCTTCTACATTGATTAAGTGAGGCTGGAAGAGAGCCTCTGGTGCCTCAAATCGTTCTCCACCAACTTTGATAATCCTGCCATCTGGGAGCTAAGGGAGAAAAAGCACCATTTATAGGACTACTTTTTAGCCACTTGGATACTAAACAAACCAAGAGGAAATTACCTACATTGCTCCCTAACATTTAAAAGAGGAAATTGTTGATAACTGCCACCACTGCAAGAAGTGATTCAGTATTACTGAAAGAAGATACAAGTGATGCAATTTACTTGGAGACATCAAGGACCAGGTAACTCGATACTGTCGTACCAAACACCTCCTTGCAATACAGCTCCTATTATTGATATAAAAGATGATCTTACAACAAGAGTAATGCTTTCCTGTAAGCTCTTTTCTTCTGTGTGTGATCTCAGGTAGTTTCCACTAACAGCAAGTTTACCATTCTTGTCACCAGACACCAGTCTCATACTTGTCACTGCTAGATGGATGAAGCTGAAACCATCTGACATGTTAGAGAAAGTAAAATTTCTTTTCAAGTTCCTGTATTATAATATTCAAATTTCAAGGATCTACAATGACGACGAGTACAAACTCTTACAGAAAATCTGAAAATAAAAAAACCTTTTAAAAGTTTTCCCAGAACCAAGTAATCTGATTCTACAGACTCCTGTGTCTGGAAAGTGAACTGCCAAGAAAAATTTAGAAGGAATCAAAGCTAAACCAATACCTGAATTTAAACCGATGACGTTTAGGACAAGAAACATTGTCTCAAAACACTCACCGTGTAGGATTCAACTAGTACTGTGGTCTCTAGTGCCAGTTTCTGCTCCTGTTCAATGTTGTATCCCACATAACACAGCTTTTCCTTGATCATGCGAACAGTCTCAAAATCAGCAGAATGGTTGAAAGCATATCCTCGCAGCAAGAGGAGCTGTGGGGAACACACTGGGTCAGAGACGGACAGCCCAGATCTCTTTATCAGTAGACAGCTACATTCAAACACAGATCTTCAAAGGTTCACCTCCCTTTTTAAACTGGAAACTTAATACTAAGTCAAATTTGTCACAGTGTATTCATTATTACCAGAAAAGTAGAATAGCAACTGCATTACTCCATGTGGGAAATTTTCCTCATCGTTAAAACTTTCAGAACCAGAAACAGAGCCCAAATATTTCTTCTGTTTAGGACTTTAGAGCACTCCAGTATTCTAGTTTAACCATAAGATTTGCCAATCCAGAATGTCGCTTATACTTTTAAAAAATCCAAATAAATAGTCTATAAAACATCCCATCTTATTAAATAATCAAGGAAGAATCACTACACTATTTTCCACACTGTGAGAAAAGTCTTTCTGAAATTAGATTAGTAGAACCAATAAAATACAACTTTTTTTTAATTTTATGTATAAAGAAAGCCAACTTTTTCCATTTTCCTTTCAAATATGGATTGAAATCCCATCCTACTGCTACAAAGAAAACATAAAGTCTCTGAATAATATCACATGTGATTTAGAGGAGGAAACAAAGATAGAAGGAAGCAATACAGAGAATACAGGAATCCTTAATGTAATTAACATGAGTAACAACATGAAAATGTAAAGTGGTTTATTGCTATTAAGGGAATTTAACTTGAACCAATGTATCACAGCCTCAGCCTTGAAAATTCTTTCCAGCTTACCTTAATGAGGTACCTAGTGATATCCCTTCCAGCAATATCTAACCGTCTGGTGAGGTGAGGAAGAGAGAAACCCTCATAAACTGGGCAAATATGAGTTACACCATCTCCAGAGTCCACAACAACACCAGTCAACAAACCTAAAAGAATGGAAGGGGAAAAAAACCAAAAGGTACAACTTTCCTTAGCACCTTATAAATAAAGCAGAATTGTAGTGAGTTAAGGATAGGATTTTTCATTGTAATTTTCACTGTAGTTTTCCTTTTAGGAAAAGTAGTCACGATGTAATTCAGTTATTCCCATTCAGCTGGATTTTAAACTTAAGGTTTTCATAATAACAGAAGTCTTTGTTTACATTTAAAAAAAATATTACTTCTACTCTTTCTCAGATTCTTGTAACTCCACCATTCAAAATTTTATCTGGTATTTTGACATCCTAAATTGAACATTAATTAAAGGGAACATATAAGATCATTAAATGCTGGTTGGGGCACAAATTCCTCCTCAGATTCAGCTGCATGTGTGCAACCCTATGCTAATTTCCCCAATATGAAGAAAGGTACAAGTATTCAAGCCACAAGTTTACGTTGTCACAATTATTAGGACTTCTTGATTTTGACTCACATTCAAAAAAACAAAACAATGCTTTCATAAAGTAAAGAACACTTGGACTATACAACACACATCTATTTTTTCCCCACAGAAACAGTGCTAGGCTGAATCAGATCTGCTTTCATAGACTAAAGAAACTAACTCTGAGTTAAAAAGTTTACCATAAACCCACTAAATTCTGAGGTGTACAAGACTGAGATATCATAAGCATGTAGAAACAGAAGTTTCTATACTTCACTAACAAAATAAATATGAAGCAAAATTAATGGTGAAAGTTAATTTGAAAACAATTTTATAGTTTCTCACAAGTTACCTGAAGCAAGAAAATTTATTTTAAGGGGAGATCTTAAAATAATAAAGGAATATGGCAAGGTGCACTGGTTTGGCTAGTGTAATTTTGCTCAAGCTTTGTAAAACAGGAGGCAAACAAATTGGTTACTTGCCTTGGATCTTCAGATTATTAGTGAACTCTAATAACCACCTTGCAAACACAACAAGTCTTGCAATCGGAAACACGTAGTAAGGAAGGAAGCAGTCACAAGGGACTACACCTAACTCCAAAGGACTGTTCTGAGGAATTGCTAAATAATTTCCTAATTGGAACTAGGTTTTGATATACAAACCCCTATGCCTTTAGAAGGCACAGGAGCACACAGAATTCCTCATAAAAGCAACTAGCAGTCTTTAGAGTTTTAACAGCAGCAACAAAATATGGTGCACTGAAATGAGGCACATCTCTGTATGTACTTTTAGCTACTACTTTACTCTTTAATGTAATTAAAGAAGTAGGATTTTTAAACAGCTTTTTTATTTTCAAAAGCAAATGTACTGTTTATGTGCAACTTGTTTTTTATATCTTAAGTCTTCAATTTTGTTTTAGATGGTAGTATGTAGGAAAACTCTGGACCGCTCTAATTTGTTTCACATTGTTATTCAAAAAGTGACTGAGCACTTCATGTTAAAATGCATGTAACATTACAGGAGTATTTAAGACTCTTTATGTTGGTCAACTAAATATTTAAAAGGAATCAAACCAAAGAAAAAACAAGAGGGGAAAAAAGAAAAAGAGTAATAGCACAAAACTGGTTGTAATTACTTGCACAACAGAATCATCTTTACAATACCCCATCACTTTTGCTCCTAGACATAGAAACTATGGTGACATGTTAATGGAAAAGGATATTTATGTCCTGCTGTGTTAAACCTAAACACATCAAGCCACTAGTAAACAGATGTAAGGAGTCATATTATTAAAACTGATACACGTGCGTAGCTTCTTACAATCCTCAATGTATTGAAGTCAATGGCAGAATTTCTATTGAATTCAGTGAATCTAATTTTCTCCTCAGGCTGAAGACCACTTATTCTAATTTATCTATAGCAAAAGAACCAACACTTTTTTATATATAGGAAACAGTGCAAAAGTCACCTTCTTGTCATCTTGAAATTCACTTAGGGTAATACATTTTTCCTTTATCAGAAAATCAAAAGCACGTCATTAAGGCTTATGCCAAAAGCTAAATGACTACGCCCTGAAACAATTACAGTTTTGGTACACTAGGTTTTTGCATTTACAAGCAAGATCTCCAGTTAGTCCATGATAGTAGTACCTATCAATAGCTCTTCAAAACAAAAAGGAAGCCTGTAAGACAGAGACAAGCTTGCTTATAATGGTGTTGAAAACCCATTAATAATATAACCCATATTAGAACTTTGGCTCAGAACACATTTAAAAACCAAATAGATTTCAAGTTATCTTTGCCTACCTTGAGCATACAAAGTAAGAACAGCCTGAATGGCTACATACACCCCAGAAAACTGGTATGTTTCAAACATAACCTGTAAGATGAAGGCAAAAATTAATGTTCAAAACAGGCTAAATACTTAAATTTCACAAATGTTTGAAAACTGTATTTCACAAAAATTTTATTTTTGCTAATCAAAAACACTTTCCAAGAAATGTCATTGTATAGATTCTATACAAACATTAGAAATCTACTTGCTTTATGGCAGCAATTAGTACATTCAGTTCCATACCTTACCTGTTCACACAACATGAGCCACATGAAATATTCCACATCCGTTTAGCAATGAAAGTGAATAACTATAAGAAACCCACACACCAATTTCTGCAGCTTTACTAAGCCATTTTCCAAAGTGCTTAATGAGTGGGAGGCAGTACTTGTAGACCAGCCAAGTCCTTCATTACTGAAGTGTGACTTGGGAATGAAATGTTTGTTAAAGGTGTACGCTCTTCAATCTAATGAAGTTCTGAGGTTTGTTTTTATTTAATTTATTCTTCAGACTTTGTACATCCATAAACTATGTCAAGTAACACCAAACAGACTCCTATGCATGTGGGTCTAGAATATGCCAAATGTCACAGGTTGTTCTCTGCATCTGGGCCTTCTTCCCTTCTTTAAAGCACAACTGATGACAAGCCTCTCGAATGAGTGCAAAATCCTCTACTGTTTAGAGCACAGATAGAGCTAAATCTGTTACCACATTCAGAAAACCACAGGTTTGCAGAACTCGTACTGAAATATGAAAAGTAACTGCCTGTCTTGTAGACTAGGTTCCCCTAACCACTAAAATCATTTCAGTGAAGAAACAGAGTCTAAGACTAAAAGATATAGTTCGCAGGATCTTGTCTTATTTATAAACACAAAAAGGCCTAGTAGACCATTCATACTGTACAGCAGCTTTGTCCTCAAAGTACAGGAAAAAACAGATGAACTCTTGACTATTCATTCCAGCACATACAGATATTTTGCTTTTGCTATTCTGTAGCCTCCTGAGCATTTCTGCAACTTCTAGGATTAGAAACTAATTAGATCCTAAATACTCCCACAGCTCCAGTAAAAGATATCTAAATATTTTTAAAGAAAAACAGCTGATGCCTGACAACTTTAGAATTCTGAACTATTTAAAGCACCTCCTCTATCAGAATAGCATGATTTTAAACGGCTGGCCCATATCAAAAACCTGATCCTTGTCAAGCCAATTATTTCATAGTGATATTGAGCCCACTACAAAACTCCTGGGAAAACTATTGGTCTCTCAGGATATCTGCTGTGAGCACACAGTATAGCAGAAGTCAAGTAGAAAGGAACACAGAGGGGGTGAGCTGCAGAGCACCCTGCCATAAGAACATCATGCTTTGGGTTTTTATAAGCCCCCAATGTGAACTTGGTAACATAAAAGGAAATCACACAGAATCACTGCTGTACTACAGCAGTCAGGTGCTTGGGCTAAGAAGAAGCAAGACATTACAAGGCTGGCTAGTAACTTCCGTAACGGCCGCAGTTTAGCAATTGCAATACCTTCAGAAACAAGAAGCAGAAGTATCTGCCAGAAAAGGAACAGCTGAAATGGCAGCAACTCAAAGAGAGATCCTGTTGGAGCAGTCATTGTCTAAAACTAGCACTATTCCAATGCATGTGTCTTTCAAACAACTTGAGCATTACAAAATGAAAAACTAATGTAAGAAAAATCTATATTATTATCTTCATACAACAAAATGAACATTTAAATGGCATTAGTTACTACCTATGCATGTTGTACTGCAAAACCCTTTTGTAACTTCAATGCAGGCCTTTTGGGAGAGGGTATTATTTTTTCTTTTAAGACATCTAGGTCTACTCTATTTGACATTAAAAATGCCCTGACACAGGACAAGTATGTTAGCAAATCTTAAGATAGAAACACTGAGGAGGATGTTCTCCTGAAAATATTCTTGTTGTGAAGGAAATTTTTGGATTACCTACAGGTGATGTTCTAATTGGGCACAGAAAGGAAGAACTAAAAACTGGGGGAAAAGATAAAGAACACTATTTTGGGATTAGGAAAAGTGACTGTGCTAGAGTATCCCTACAGCTACATGCTATACCATTACAGTCTGGGTGTTCCTGAGGGCGTTACAGAATGAGAACTCGGCAGATAACAAGGGACAAACAAATGGCAAACACTCAGCTAAGCTGAGGAGCAACCAGTGCCTTGTACCTTCTATGAAAGAAAAAGCACTTCACAATATAGCTGTTATGTGAACACTTGCTGCTGTTACTATGTAGCTGAGTTTGATGGAGCTATTAAGCGAGAAGAGAGAATTACTGGAAGTAGAATGAACAGCATATATAATTATCTATCATCTTGATGCAGTCCAGATGACTAAGCTTTTCTTTTAAAATGTTACTGCACTGTATCACAAAATGCAGACATTATTATATTTACTGCAGACTTTAGGAAAAATGTTAATTTGGTCCTCTGCTTCATACTGAGCTAGCCTCCCTGAAAAGAAGGACTCCATGTCAAAAATGGAAGATATGTAAATATGTTAAGAAACTACATATTGCTAGTCCTCATAACACTGTGATCCATTAAAAATATTAATAGAAACAACAAGCTTCTCTAACCCAAATTTAAATCTACAAAAAATGGATTCTAGTTCTCCCTAATCCTCTGGATCACGATTAAGCATCTACAATCTCTGGAGTGGTTTAAAAAAGTAAATGGAACACTGCAAATATTTTATTAGTTCAGAAGCCATACCAGACTTTTCAATTTACGGTATAAAATTACTCAGTACCAGAATAACTAAAATCCAGCCTTTTGTGTTTAGCAAGAAAACAGAAACAAGAGCACTATTGTAGACAGCTGAAAAGCAAAGAAGCCTTAACAGGAAATTCGACCATCCCTGCTACATGGAGGTCACCCAGAATAATCCACTACATCTATCACACCACAGCTGACTGATATACAATAGACAACATATTAGTAATGTTACATTACGTAATTCTTTGATAGGTCTCTAGTGTCCACAATTGCTAGGAAATGCTGACTTTTGATTGCATGGTTTGATTTGTTTCACTTAAGTTTTTCCAACTTTGCTGTACATCACTTGCTCCCAAGTGACTGAAAGGAAAGATTAGTGCAATTAACTGCCACGTTGCAGAAAGCACTACTGTAGCTGTGACAACCAACAAGATTTTAAAGGAAAGGTCAGCAAGTAATGATAAAGATAACTTCTTATTAGACTAAGCAACAGATTTAGGAAAAAAAATATATATGCACAAACTTTCATATTCAAAGTTCTGACAAATGGATAAGGTTTGAGACTTAGAATCCATTTTTTCCCACCCTGTCAGATACTTGCATTAAACTACATTTTTGCTACACTGAATACTTACATTGACTGAAAATACCTATGATGCTTGAGAAGAAATACAAAATGGGAAATTAGGTTTTTGTTCCCCTCAAACATCGAGTCTTTGTCACATGGTACTAGAGCTAAACAACATACATCTGACAACCTACATTAATGAGTTCAGGTGGAGCTCACGTCACTCAGGGCAGCGCTCTTGAGACTGAGGATCCACAAACCAGGCTTTCCTTCTTAGAAGGCTTTCATTGATAATCCCTAGCATTAATCAAAGATTAGTGAATTGGTTGTCATCACACCTTCTTCATCAACTACTTCTAACAACACAGCTCCATCTGGTAAGCAGCATCTTGCTCAAGCTTCAGTCTCCTCTGAAGATTTACTGGCTTACAGAAATCCAAGTAATTTCATGTAATTAACATTCATCCAAGAGCTAGTAATCAATACATCTTGGATACATGAAAATAAACATGTACTTTCAATTCTGTGTTTTAATGGTGACATGGCTTGAGATAGGAAGCCTACTTAGAGCTTTTGAATGGGATCAGTTTGTTTGAATTTAACCACAGTAGCCTTCTTGACTACAGCTGAGGATAAGTTTTGGTTAGAAAAACAGCAGAACTGCTTTGCCTCAGGCAGTTACCAGGTGTTCCAAGAAGTTAAAAACTCTTAGAAATGCTTCAATGACTGTATAAATCAGTTTCTGCCAGGCAGACATACCTCCACGATCTTCTCCCTGTTTTTAGTTGGATTCATGGGAGGTTCTGTGAGTAGTATTTTACAATTTTTTGTGTCAATATTAAGTTTTTCTGGTCCAAACGTGTAATCCCAGAGGTGCTTCATATCATCCCAGTTCCGAACTATGCCATTCTCCATTGGATAATTCACTTCCAGCATTGAGCGCAACTCACTTGCTTCATCACCAACCATGAGATCCTGTAAAATTTTAATATAGAAACATATCAGTGCTTGTAAAATTTTCTAAACACCCAAATCCTCAAGAATCACAGTGAACAGTCCAGCCTGTGTCCAACTGTGTTCTTAAACAATACCTACATTTTAGAATGCTTTTCAGGTACTTAGGAGAGAAGTAGAATATGTTTCATGTAGTATTTAAATTTGGTTGTTACCCATCCCAAACCTTTTCCAAAATAAACTTTGTTAATTCCATTCTCCAATTAACCTGAAACAAAACAATAAACCCTGCTACCACTAGGTACCACAAAGACCTTTGTAAGTATGATGTTTCTCCACTGATACCTACAAAATTTTATCAAATACTAATTTCAAAAGGCTGAGATGCAAAATAGCACACAAGGGTAGTAGGTGGAATTGGCAGAGTATTTTTCCATGCATGTTGCAAATTTCTGTGCACAATACCAAAAAAGGAATAATGAGTGGTGAATAAGCATACCCAACAGTAGCAAAAACAAATAGGAGATTAGAAGTTCCACACTAGACATTAAAAGAAATAATGGTTTACATATTTCCTATGTCAGTAGGGTGTGAAGAGACATCTGAATATAAAAATATACCCTTGTCTGTTACATGCCAAAAGTCCCAAGCCAAAACCCCCAGTAATGCATTCTTACACAAATACAACCAACTAATGCATAGTTTGTATACTAATTTCACACTGATTAAGCAATCTATTTATTAAAGTTAGTTATGCAAACATTGCACATTCCAATTAGCAGCACTGTATCTTCTTTCCCACGTATTTCCCAGAGGAAGTATGCATGTAACATCTTATTTTTGCTCCCTATTACACCCCATACTTTTCTAAAGAAGCCTTAGCTGACTTGGCTCATATTTAGCCTGTATGATCACATTTCTAGGTATCAACAGCACTGTTTCCATACTAGCATTATATTGATTTCATAGCAAAAAACCCAGCTGCTTCATACAAAAATATGCCACCGCACTTTGTAGTTGCTGTGGCACAGAAGTGAGGGTTACTCAATCTACTATTCAATGCTAGGAAGAGGCACAATAAAAAAACTGAGTGTATGGTTTATGCCTTTTTTAGAAGTAACCTAGAGAGCTACCGTTGCCTATATAAAAAGGAAGTTAATTGAAAATAATTTAAATCAAACCATTTCTCTTCCACCCCCCTCTCACTGACAAGGAATTTTGTTTTCTCTTGCACAGTAGATGACACTTCAGTTATCTCAACTGCACAGAAGAAAAAAATCAATACTAATATTTTATATCTAATGTACTCTAGTGAAACCATCTGTTAAAACCCCATCATGCAGCCACGTTCCTCCTGAGAATTTCAGACAAGAGAAACTCCACCAGTTAAAAGAAACAGAAGGTTTTTTGGGCATTGTACTTTGAGGCTCTACGCTACTGAACAGGGCAGCCCAGGAAAAATTGCTATTCAAACACGCAACGAAAGTGGCACCAAACTTTCACATCCTTTTAAAACAAAGTTAAAGGGCAGAACAATTGCTCTCGAGAGCACACAAAGAAAAAAGCGCACTTGGTAGGTGAAGAGGAAGAAGGACTGCACAACTGAAATTGCAGAGGAAACCATATCATGACATCCCCTGTTTCCACCACTTTGGTAGTCAGTAACATTTGTCTAACTGAAATATGAAAGTTTATTCAAGCTCTTGGTTTTGTAATGTTAAATATAGCGATTTATACAGTTAAAAAGCCTGAGCTTGTTGATCTTTAGGAGTTATTCTTACATCTTGCAAAACTATAGGCTGTGTAGCATTCAGAAGCAATGCATAGAATATTCTCATTAATTAGTTGCTAGTAAACTAAAGCAATGAACAATGTCCAAAATAAGTATGTATTCAAATGTAAAATGTAGGACAAGACAAAAGAAAATAAAAAATATAACATAACAGCTTCTAGGTCCCATCAAGCAAAAATGGTAAACAAACAGCACAGGGGCACCTCACTTACCATCTTTTTGTTATTCTACTTCAACAGGTCAAGAAAGGTGAAGAAAGAAGGTAGAAGCAAGAAAGTCAGAAAAGGCCTAAATGAAATTCTCAAATTATTTTAAGTACACAGTAGAAATAGAGTGAAGAGAGGTGCATGTACAGCAGGAAATTATCTGAGTTAGTTTAGTTAGGGCCAAGCTAACATTCCCAGGCTCTCGGATTAAAATGTCTCCTTAAAGGAAGCTATTGCTACATATCACATTTATGCATCTTACATTGCAAACAAGATCAATATATCTGACTCTCTCAAATGGGATTCTGTGCATAAATGTTCTGTAACATTGTAGTTTTACCCTGGGAAAGGCATTTATATGAACTAGACAAGACTCCGCAGAAGGTGTTTGACCATAACAAGCTCCGACAAACGTCAATGTTAATTTTTTTTTTTAATATTCTGCTTTAAATACTCAGGAACTGAAAACTGTAACATAAGGGTATTCAGCTATAAGCAAGCTAATCTGTTTATATATCACGGAACAAATACACCAAAAGAATAAAAGATATTTACTTAAATTATGGCAATGGCTCTCAGAATGGAAATCAAGTGATCATGAAGTGCAGTAGTAAGAGCAGTGTTTCAAAGTTCTTTACCTATAGCAAGCTATGGAGGTACAAAGATAATTCAAGCAACAGGGGAGCACTATGAGATATTTGAAGCATATGAGACAAACATAGTACAAAATTATACTAAGCAATTTTCACAATTATTGAGATTTTTCCTCCTTCGATTACATTTCCTTTGAGTCACCTAAACTGTCACAAACCACAGGGTAATTATTGGCGCCATTAAGGCAAATCTACTTATTCTGCAAATTGTGGCAGTGGAGAAGTGTGTTGATTCAGGCAGTAGCAAAGAAGCTGGTCCGTGTGGCCCTCTTCCTCACTTCAAATCCAAACAACAACTTACTTGGACTGCCTTTAGCAGAAACCGAGCAGAACTGCAGGACATGGACAAAGGCTCAGGGGGTTTGATCGGCCCTACAGTCCTAGTTATTTTAACTAGTCAAAGCTACTCATCCATTCTGCCTTCCTAAGAGGGTTATTAAACCCCAAACCTGCTTCAAAGATTAGTAAGTCAATAAAAGCTAAAAGCAACATCTACGCTTCTAGTTTTAGAGTTTTAAGGTTGCAATTTTAAGCAAAATTCCAGTAACAGCCAAACTTTTGATGAGAATCTGGAAGGAAAACATGGACCAAGCAACTTGAAACTGGTAACTCAATAGACGGAAGATAACCACTGTTTTGATCAGCATCCAAACTCTTCTCACAGAGTTTCTGAATTTCACAGAATAACAGCTTTTCTGAATAGTTTTGAAAAGTTAAACTGATCTCTCCTTCCCAGCTTCCTTTACTCATTTTCTGAATAGTTTTGAAAAGTTAAACTGATTTCTTCCCAGCTTCCTTTACTCGGTTTTAACTTATTCCATAAGAACTTGAAGTGAATGGCTGTAATTAATTTTGGTATCAAAGTCACATGCTGAAATACTTTTCTTTTTAGGAAATCTGCAAGCATCTCACAAAGAAAAATGGCACTCGCTTAACAAGTCTTCTTACTGTATTATCCTACTCGGATACTCAAAGTTTCTGTGATAGGGATTTCTTCTCTTGATACACTGTCTCCTTAAGAAAGAGTGACAAGCTACTATAAGCAGATGCTATAAAATTAGGAAGAATCTAGACTCAGTTTACTCTTTAAAATATAACCATGTGATTCATGTTCAAGCAGAAGATGGACAATGCATGCAAAACTGGAGTTAATGGTTCTTTGGCACTGATGTCTTTGCAACTACCCACTTCCACCTCCCATTTTTACAATTCAACACTGTCATATGTAATGATACTAAACTAAGTTATCAGATAATCAGAGGATACCAAAACTGGCAGGACAGACTGCACCAGATCAGCTGGAAAGAAAACATCAATACTGAAATTTCACACAGAGAATTTTTTTTGGACTTAAGACTGGTAAATCACTGCATATTTGCATCAACATTTATCAGGACCTCCTAGAAGAAATTTTCATGCTAAATTCAAGTAAATATCCAAAGAAACACCTAAGTCTTGCAAGAGAAAGGAAAATGTTTTCCCTCTCCTTACAAAAAAAAACCCCACAACTGTCTACTGTGAAAGGGAAAAGACCTGCATCCTTTCAAACTGTTCTAGCTGGCACAAAGTAAGCAGTATTGCAATATTAACAAACAAACAAACAAAAAGGCATTTTGTAAAGGTCTAATGTCTTTCATCCTCTTGTTTTCCTAGTATGATCTTCTGCTGATACTACTAACTTTTTACAGGCAGCAGCAAGAAATCAGACAACTGAAGCCTTCCTTGTCACCCACAGGGTTCTCAGAAAAAGAAACAAAGACTGGACAGAGATTTTTTTTTTTTCTTTTTACTGAGCTACGGCTCAGAAGCAATAGGAAAAGCAAAATTGAAAGCCTGCAAGTATGTGGCTCTACTTGACCTTCACTGCCCTAAGTGAGAGTTCTCCAGTTCTGCATTGCCTCCCGCTTCTCTCTCAAGTTCCTGCTTCTGCCTTGCTCTCCAACTGAAGCTCGCACAATTGCCTAGTCAGGCAGTCAAAACTTTACCTGACAAAGAAATCCCTCTTTTTCAGCTTGCTTAGCTCACTAAAGTGGCTCACCACAGGACTGCACCAGCAGTATGACCAGTACAAGGTGAGCATGTGTAGCTATAAGCAAGAATGGAGGATGTGACCGCAGCAGGGCCAAGACATTTACTGGATTGTGTACTGCAGAAGCAACTGCTAAGATTTGAAGCATCACTCTGTAATTACAAAATAAAGTGAGAAATGATAGCTCCCCAGGATTCAAAAAAAGATTCTCAAACAGTTGTTCTTCTCCCATTCCAAGCTTGGAATAACATTCCAAACTGAAGCACACATAACCTCTCCATCTCTAACTGGTGTGGGAGCACCTACTGTCTATCAACAGCAAAAAGAATAGAAAACAAAAACAACAGAAACAATGAAATGCAATGCAAACACAACCAAGGTTAAACATCTTGTACACGAAGATTACAGATGATCAACTGTGAGCAGAAAGCCAAGAGTGCAGAAAGACTTGGAACTCCAGCAGTTCAGAATTGTCTCAGAATCTTACACTAAGCTCAATGACAAACATCAACCACTTCTGTTAGATTTCTGCCTTGTAATGTTGCCATCATTTACATATTGGCATTTGAAGGCCCTTTTTGCCCAGAAACACTTGAGCCCCTACCTGCTGCCTCCTCAGTTGTACTATCTGAGGGCCTCCAGTGCTTTAGATTACTTTATTAATAACTTTGTATTTGTGACAGGCTAAAATCCAATACAGAAATTAATCAGGAGATGCAGAAACAGCATAAATAGGAATTAAGGAAAAAGCATTTCCAAATGTTACGTAAGTGAAATGCTGACCTAAAATATTTTAATCTGTCAGAAAGGAATTATAATGAAAAAAACTTACCTTGATTTCAATATTTCCCACTTTAGCAGTTGATCTTATAATGGGTCTTCCAACCAAAGCTGGAAAAATGTGCTCCGGAAAATTTGAGCCTGCATAGCCACATTTCACAAACTGAAAAGGAAGAAATAATGTGATTAGAATATCCTTTTTTTTTTTAACAAAAGAAACCTGTTTTGGGGCAAAAAACTGAAAGCCCAAATTTAAGACCATATATCTCAACAGAAACCAATTGGACTTTTACTTTCAAATCAATTTGACACGTTTCAGATGATGTGTAGATCAGTAAAACTGAATTCAGTTATTTTCTATAATGTTTTCTGAAAGATTTGAGAAACAGTATTAAAATGACCAAGTACACTGAGAGGTGTACAAGAATCCAGTGTTTGAATTTGGATTTCCTGACACTCTATTAAAAAGTTATCTAGCAAACCAAAATCCCTAATTTTGTAATAGTTCACCTTATAATGAGCACCCGATGAGACCAAATTAAATCACCTCTCCAATTAGATAATACACAACAAATTATGCATCAGAAAAAAACCAAACAAAACCTTGTGAATTCAGGTGTTACACTATTATAAAAAGTGCTTAACTGTGAACTAAGAGTCTGTGCAATTCAGATGGATTTCTCAGTTTCACAATTTGCAGCTTATCTTAAGGATAAAGATAGAAGTTTGCAGTAAGCACCTCTAAGACCAACAGCTCAATCAAAACCTCAGCTGATGTTGGTTCACATTAAACAGGACACTCTAAACGAGTATTTGCTACCCATATATTTATGAAAGAAAGCTTTACATTGCTGGGTTCCACAACAGTATATACACGCAGAAATCAGTGAGGATTAACTGAGCATTAAAAAATTATATAGTCTCTAGAGGAAACTCAGTTGTAAAATAAGAACTTTAAGCGTGCTAGCAAGAAGTTACATTTTTAGCTAATAAGGATCGGCAACTCATGCTCTTTGGCTCTCCTGCATCATGTTATCTATCACACTGATGTTCTGCCTACTTTCATGTAGAACAGGCTTCTCTTTTTTTGTCATGCTCTTTGGCTCTCCTGCATCATGTTATCACACTGATGTTCTGCCTGCATTTCATGTAGAACAGGCTTCTCTTTTTTTGATGCATACTTTGTGTACTACACTGTATTAGCATGCCAGAACAGTATTCTGCTGTCCCAAACTAAACGTTGCACATTTTCATCTGCAAAATTACTCAACCATCCAGGTGTAACAGCGGTTACACAGCATCATGGGATCAATCAGGGTGGAGGGAACCTCAGGAGCTGTCTTGTCCAACCCTGAGGTCAAAGCAGTCAACACTGAACTCAGACCAGGGCTTTGTCTAGTCGGGTCTTGGAAGGCCCCAAGGACAGAGAGACCCCTGGAACCTTGTCCCAAAGTTTAATTATCAATTTCAGGTTGTATTAAAAACCCTCTGCTAGGATTTCCAAAATGTTCAACAAGTTTTCTGAAGTGAGGTCTGAAGATTGCCACTGAAGCAATTACCACAGCAAAGAGTACAGCTAATTGCAGCTGACACGGAATTTGCCATCACACTAATGGTGACAGGAAAAGTCACTTTCTGTTGCTATAAATTATTCACCTTACTGCAGTAAAAATGGTTCCTGTTTCAGAAAGAAATCTATAAAGCCACTTATGGAAAGAGCCAAGTTGCCTAATATAAGGGCGTAGGGAATTTTTTTTTCTTCTTGTAACCCTGATTTTTTTCACCCATTCAGGGCTTTCACTTTCAGACTTTCAGGCAGAGCTGTTTGGAATACCTAAAGAATGACACTGTGTATACAACTAATTTCAGCCATTCCACCTCAATCTCTGCTCTCTGAACAGGCAAGTACTTATCAACTCCTGTGCTTACATTAAGGCCAGAAGTACCTAGGAGTTATATAGATCTTATCTGTGTATTCAGGAATGCAGTGCTGCTATAAGAAAGCAAAGAGCAGCTACAAGCATTTCTGGTTCAGACTACCTCAATACACCAGGAGACTTTACCAGAAGTTTTAAACCAGAGGAAACATAAATGACATTTTGAAGGACTGAGCTGAGTTCAAATAATTGTGTCCAAATGCTTAAAAAAAAACAACTCTCTTTCAGACTTGGCAAAATAGCACATTCAGGTCAATCACATAATTTTTGCTGCTACTACAATATTTAGGTTTGCTTGTTACAAATTTCCTTGTACAGGGTCTGGCCAAGCAAAAAGCAAGTTCTACAAAACAGTTCATGCAAATCCATCCTCCAGTGTAGGGTTTCTTAAATTGTCCCAGGAACAACCATAAGCACCCTCCAGGTAGCCCACACACCTTTAGAGCCATGTATTTGCTTACAGCTTTTCCTCCTTCTTTTTCCCCCAGCTTGATGCAACGTCCCTAACACTCATCAATAATGTTGTCGGTCAACACAAGTAACAGTACCAGTAACATCTGAGTTAATCTTTACAACTCAAGCTACTGGAGCACCCTTCAAGAAGCTCTGCTACCCACACTTGAAAACCCTGCTGAATGGGCAAATAAAATCCTGAGGTTTACATAGCAACCACTGAGATACCTGACCCAAACAACTACTGCACAAAATTAGTAAGAGCTTCTTGGCCAACCTTAAAAATACCTCTCAAAATCAAATACAGCTAAGCTGACCTAGAAAATGCCAACCTACAAAAATACTATTCTAAGGTCTTTCTATTTGAACTGTAGTAGTAACTCCCAGCCTCTTTAAAGCCTTGCAGACTTTCCCAGGTAGTTAACTATGTTGACAACTAATAAATCCTAGATGTTAAAAGCAGGCTGTCATTTCTCCAACCAGCCTAAAACATAATCAAAACTAGATTTAATCTATGTGAACTACAATGAGGAAGATTAAGATTGGACATTCATGGTTTGTTCCCTACATCTCTCAGGCTGGAAAAGAGAGCCTTAAAAATGACGTTTTTACAAAACTTTGATAGATGGGGCAAAATTTTAACTCTGTCTCTTCCCCTTCAGATATTATTTTTTTTTCTCATCCCAGGCTACATAAAAATTTGGTGAAGATGAGAACAGGTCAGCCTTGTACATCAGCTCCCCCATGAATGAGAGCATCCCCACTGTAGTATTCTCCTTGACATGGTACTGAATATTCCACTGGTTTGGCAGGTTTCTGATGACATAACACTGGATATTATGGCTGAAGAACCCGACCCAGTAAAACTACCAACAGGTAAATGTACCTAAGAAACACAAATGTATCCATATAATAGATGCTGAACAGCTTAAGATTTCTTAAGAGGTACAAGAAACATAAGATACTTCTCCCATCCTCACAGAAGACCCTCCAAAATCTTCAACTAAACGTTATGAACTGCAGTAGCTTGGAGTATGTTCAGCTTCCCTTTTATAGTGCCAGACATTGAATACTCACTGCTCCTGCCACTTTGAAACTCTCTAGTAAAATGTAAGTATAATGCACTTGTTTCTCTTCTGACTCTTACTGTGCACACACCTTGGAACAATTATCAAATAATTTCAGTGCAGTGCTCAGTATACATCGTGTCTCCAACAAGAACATCAACACTCAATGAATATACACATCTTAGTAAAGAAGCCAAGAGCTCACCATCATTCATTTTTGAACACATTTGCTATACATTCCACATGTTTTAAGAATAGCTACTGAGCTTGCCTGTGGGCAGGACCATGTATGTGAGAAGTTTTACCATATATAGTTTCTTCTCCATTTCATTGTGGTTTTTACAGACTGTTTCACTTCCTACTGAGTCATCAAACAGAAAGAACTTGTATGTATAAGTATTCTTTCAAAAGAAAAGAATGAGGAAGCTCACAAACAGGTCATATGATAAGTTTTAAAATTAATACTAATATTTTTGTCAGGTCTCAGTATTTGATTATTTCCTTTGATGCAACACTCAAATTATAACACTGAACACAACTGGAACAATTTCACAGGCCACTAATTAACTTTCTGTTTGGCCTATACCAATAAGAACATCAATTTATCACCCTTTAGACCTTTAGGTGCCATTGCCTTTCTCTCTGCTACACTACATGTTGCAAGAATTTCCTTCTAGTCATCTCTTCCTCAAAGACTGGTTGCAGCCAGGTATATTAGAAGCATCCCAAGAACAATAAACTTCAAAGACAAGCCTAAAGTCAAAATTGCATCTGTTTTTTTTAAGATATTCTCCATTTTTTTGGTAGTAATTCTGCCACCTGGCAAGTGATTTAATTTCAAAACATTGTTTTAAGTATGACATATCACAGCATATCAGAAATTACTCTGACATAAAGCGTCCATTCCTTGTCATATAGAAAAAAACATTATTGTAAAAGTACTAGTTTGACAATATAGGACTATTTGATAATCTCAATACACAGCTGAGGCACAAAAGATTTACTGAATCGCATTTTCTTCCATTTCAATTAAGCCAAATCAACTTAAATGTTCTGAGCTGACTGATTTAACTATTGTTTTTTTCATACTTTGCTCTCCCACACAAGGAACTCTGGCCAGGGTACTTCCATACACATGCTGTTCTGCTCAGAGACCAAACACAGCCCAGAGCAACAGAAGCTACAGTGACACAGTCCTCTTAACTCAGCACTGTCACAGCACCGTAAAAGGCACATTCTGCTCACATAGTTACTTATGCCTTGCCAGTACACAGAGGAAAAAAAAGCATCATACCAAGATGTCCCTTGGTTTCAAAGCACACACGGAGGCATTATACCGTATAAAATCCATGCTGCAAACCCAACTTGTGAAACTGGGTAAAAAGAAAGGCTTCTATCCATGATTTACACCATGGCACAACAGGGCTTTCACTTCTGATATACTGAACATTTTACAACTCAATGATTTATTGCTATGTAAAGGGCCACAAGATGAATATTTAATTCATTTTTATATATGCCTAATAATAAAGAGTAGTAAACAACAAAGGGGGGGAAAAAAAAACCCAAAACACAACATAAAAGCTTCCACATCCCTTTGTAAGAAGAAAATAGTAACTGCCTTTTTTTTTTTTTTTCCCCTTTCCTTTTTCTAAAGGATAGCATAAAAAGCATTCAGAAGCTCTGGACCTCAGCCCTCTCCAAGA